TGATCTCATGCTCATTCACTGAAAGACTTTTGCGGTCTACTTACAGTTACATTGAGACTACACAAGAGTCAGCAACAGATGCGAGAACCGAGAGAACCAACTAGCACAAGTACCGAAGAGAGAACTATCACATTGCCGTGCTCTCCAGCTGGTATGGAATTGAACACTGCACTATCACAAGAACAAATTGCAAAACGTAAAAAGAACAACGGGATGGAATTATCTTAACTATAGTAACTATAGTAACTATACTAACAGTCACAACTACACAACACCTCACAACCTCATAAACCGGAAACCATACACACCGATCTGCTCCAACTGCTCCAACTACACTAACTACACTGATTATAACAAATCTGTATTATGAATGAATTAGCCCATTCAAATGCAAAACGACAAAAGAGCAACAGGCTTGACCTATCTTAACTATGCTGATTATACCGACTGGTCATAACTATACTAACTATCAGGAAATTACTAACCAACCACTTAACATCTTAACTATCACATTAACAAACACTAAACAACCTTCCCTCACAAGAGCACGCTGCTCACTGACTGACTTTCGACTGACTTTCCCGCTCTTTCCAAGTAAACTACAGAGCTCGAACATCATTTTTGCACTTTTGATGACAAATAAGGGAAATTGGAACAAACAAGTCAGACTACAAACCTCAATCTCATAGCAATTGTCATCATTTCGTGTTGGAGCACATCAACCAATCCACTTCCATCGAACGTAATCACTGTCTTTGCATTTAAAATTTGATTCTGATCTAGAAAACCTTAAAATTAACAAATTTTATCAAGTTCAACTTAAGTGTCACGTATTTTTCAAAACAGAGAACAACCGGGTCATTTTTTTCACGTAAAAAGTATTTTAACGTGACGCTTTCCCTCGGAGTGTACAAGCCGTAGAGCTCCTGTATCACGTCAGTTGACTGTGTGAGCCAATGAGCTGCACTCCTCTCTCTCTGGAGGTCTTCCCGTCAACGGGGCGGAAGCTTATAGACTTACAGGCCATTGATGCATTTCACTCGAAACTGTTCAAGACGGTTGCATTCTTATTTGAAACAGTTTAGATAATTAAGGACTGGCTGTTGGACACCTGTGGAATGAGAAGAATGAAATGAAACTATCTTTAGGAGCCTCATAAAACCCAAACAAGTTGGGCATACTAGTAGTAAACACTTCCCTCAGGTATGACTCAATATCAGATAATCAGAAAGGCTCGAATTGTGAAGTTGATTCATTCTGCAGAGTGGAAAATGACTCTTGCATGGGCTTATAGAGCGAGTAAAACTATTTTCCATTATGAACTTGACCGATATGGCTTCATTATGGATATTTCCATTTACAGACGATTCGACAAACACGAACTATAAATACAATTGAATACAAACTGAACATGTTGTATATCCATAACTATGTGAGTTAGATTAGTTATAAACATTTGAAAAGGAATAGAACGGTGGTTATGATAGAAACTAAAAAGGAAAACCCGCTAGGTGTGACTTAAGCAAAGGAATAAACTCATCGGAGGTAGCTTAGTTAGAACGTGAAACGTTATTATTAGAATACGAATGTGTGAGAGGAACTACTATCAACATTGAGATTTGACCAAGAAACATGTTTGTCTTGATGGCTAGGGTTAGTACGAAACAGTTTTTCCTATGGAACAGATTTTTCAACAGTTACAGGAGGAGAGAGTGAGTGTTACAAACGGTGTTATGAAAAATAAGGATATCACCAGGATATACACTTGTTATCTTAATCATTCAGAGTCTGATGATGCTGTTGGCAGCATTCTCCCATTAACGGGAGACAAAGGAACAGGGACTGTCGAAGCTATCTTATGCTCGTTGAACTTCTGGATTGTCAGCCATTCAATTCCTCCATAAAAGTATTGAATGAGCCCATACATTATGCAGGTTAATACACAAAAGTAGAGCATGAATTGAACCTTAAGAGAAGGTTTAACTTAAACTCTTTGAGCAAATAATCTTACTTGGAAGAGAGCCAGAAGCCAGAAGGCTGTTGTAAAAAGCCAGAAGCCAAGAATCATTATCTCGACCTGCGTAGCTTCAGGAGTATCCTGAAATTGGAGATGCATAAGATGGATTACCAAGTTCTTACTTTATAGGTTTTAGTTCCGCAATCGAACTTTCTTTCGATTCCTGTCTTCGAGTAGAACTCATCCAGCTTTATTTCTTTCTCTTTCCACAAATTGATAAGCCAAGTAGCTAAACCGTCATCACTCTTGGGTAAGTCGTTGATGTTGTATTTTACAACCTATATAGGGTTGGATTTCTATATTATGCTGGAAGCAGCACATACTTGGTAATGAACTTCCCGGGAACAAACTCCGTAGGCGACAATGTCAACATCCCGTTGTACAATACAATCGCCGAATCCTATGGTAACATCGTACAAATATTTTATATTGTTATCTGAAATATTCAATTTTAAATTGTAGTTGCAGCTGACAATAACAGCATTCTGACTATCATACGGTCAGCAACAAACCTTTTCTCATCCTCTGTACGATATGAACAAAGCCAGTCGTTCTTGGATGCAAGACGTAGCTATAGTGAGGAATTCCTTTCTTCTCAGCGTAAATTCGACTACGCTCAGTAGCTTTGGGACACTTATCTGTTCCTTCGGGGAAAAGTAGAAGCTGAGATAATGAAATGTTTATGTCATGTATTTGCAATACTCACTTGGTAGTTGAGCCCACAGTTGGCATAGTAATCGAGCATGGTATCTAGACGAGCAGCATCAGATTCGTAGGATCGATCGAGGAAAATGTAAGAGTTAGCGCCCATAGCCCAGCCTAGGAAAATTCTAATGACTAATATCAGATGAATGACTTACCTGCTCCAGGGACGTATTTCAAGATGCCTTTCAGTGCAATTTTCTCAGAAACACAAAGCCAAGGGTTCATTCTATATAGAGCCCTCCAGAAGTATAGCCAGTCCAATCTTAGTTACTGAGTAACAATGTATTCGGTACAGCTTTTACCTTGTGCGATGGTTCATGATAATAAGACCAGGCTCATGATGCTCAATCATATCTCCTCCAATAGAAATGTTTGCTCCAAATATATACGTTAGAAGAGCCTGTAAATGAAATGATTTCTATGAGCCAACGTTTTAAGAAAGTACTCCAGGCATGATACACCAAATGCCAACAAGGCGATCCATGAACTTCCTCCATAGCACAGGGTTCCAGAAGAGCAGAGGAATCATGGGCGTGATTATATAAACAGCGCCTAGAAAAGAAGGCAGATGAGTCGAATTGTGAACTGATGCATATAACACAATCTAACCTAAGAAAGATGATAAGAAGAGGAATATGGCAAAAACCCATCCACGAATCCGTATGAACCATGGTTGTCCTGGCCCAATAGTCGGTGGTTCCTTACAAATTGTGGACATCTCCTGATTTGATCTGAAACATTTAATTGAACTATGAATGATAGGGAAAGTCTCGGTATGGAAATCAAGAATGATGGGGCGATACAGTAAATGTGAAACTGAGAATGAAACCTCGCTCACAATAAAAGATTGAAAAGCTCTTGAGAATATCAAGAAGTGTCTGAGGTAGGTTTCTCATTACAATCATCTTTCTAACAACAGAATTTGAGTAAATATCCATTACGAACAAAATTGGAGAACAAGAAAAATCGCGTTGGCACTCTTCGTAGTAATCAGATGACAGTAACCCGCCTATGCATCCCTCATTAGTTTTCTGTCTCTCTCTCTCCGTCTCTCTTTCAAACGATCACAAAGCGGACAATTAAATGTAGCTGAAAGTAGAAAAGAAGAAGTTCGTACCTTCCACTCTCAAGATACTCCCAGCTTTCTGCAGAAAGCATTCAAAAGTACCGATGATACAACTTGAAAACAGCAGAAATGAGAATTAGGGAACATACATAACCTGAAGGATACGTTGTCCTTGGGTCGCCACAATCTTATGAAGAAGATTGATTCTTCTTCTTGATAAGTTTCAATGTGGACAAAACAGGAGAAGATGGAGGAGAAGAAGAAGAAACTTCTGAGTCGGAATACTAGATTCACGAACTTTAAAATGTACTAATTGGTGCTGTTGTGACCACAGATCGGAGAAGTTTTTTCTCCATCAAACAGTGGTTAGGGAAGCATCTATCACAGATGGTTAGAAATCTCTTTAAGAAATTAAGGTTGAGACACATTCATTCACCTAATTAGGGAGGTGAGAAACGTTTGAGGTGAGAGCAGCTGAAGCAAAGTCATAGGTATTGATAGGTAATGAGCCAATTATGGAATGCCGAGAACACATGAACAATTAAAAGGAAATGTATTTTCTAATACAAACTGTACACAGGGCACATACATATAAAACTAGGACACACACGTTCAAAGAAAACAATCAGAATGATTAGAAGACGAATCTTCCGTTTTATTAAGAGGTACACGCAAAGAACAGATTGAATTCTAACGGGATGGATGAGAAGCTCATTAGAATGGAAATACTGTTGACTTTCGACAACTCAACAATCTCATTTACAAAGACTAAAAACAATGACTAGTTTCAATAGGGAACACCTTCGTTTCATAACGATTTGCTTTTTTGCTGATAATTCAAAAACCAATGCAAAATCAGAAATTCGACACCGTTGTGCTTTTTGAGGGCATAGATGTAGAAGCATATGGCAGCAAGAACATACAACTTGACTAAAGTATAGTAATAAGTTAGATAAAGCCAGAGGATGCAAGAGAATATCCAGAAAGCGAAAGTCACGTAGTAGCCCAATCCTCTGGTTAACACCTGCAAAACAAGAAGCGTAGTTTGGTTTAGGACATGAACAAGTCGATACTTACAGGCCAAACGAATCTTTCTCCACTTGGCTCGAGCTTGTGATCACCATCATAGAATCTTAAAGAAAAACTTCAAGTGGAACAAGTTGTAGAAAACCACACCTTTTCAACCGACTTTCTTTTTCCTTCCATAACGAAGTCAACCAGTTCGATCTTTCATCAGGCGTTGCAGGTAAATCACTAATATCATATTTCTTCACATCAAAATGTATATTCTGCAAATGCAAAAGATTATTGGCAAATTGGAGAGAACCTTACCTTTGGGAATTTGCCTTCCTTCAACAACTGCAGTTCCGATTCAACAACATGGTCTTCGTAAGCCAATGTCACATCATAAACATAACTTATATAGTTATCTGAACAAAAACAAAGGCTCGAATGAGAAAATACGGAAGCGTAGTACGTTTTTGCATCAAATCTATGAAGTAGTTGAACCCAGTTGTTCGAGGATGGAGCACATTCTCGTAATGAGGAAGACCATTCTTATCAGCGAATTCATTGCTGAGCTTCATTGCTCTTTCTCCTCTATCAGTTCCTTCCGGGAACAACAGCAGCTGAACATTCGATTGTCTTTCGACAACGGTTCTTTATATTATAAATACCTGATAAGTGTTATTAGACTCTGCATAGTACTCCATCATTGATTCTATAGTGCTTTTATCAGACTCAAAAGAACGCTCCAAAAAAATGTATGACCCACAACCCATGGCCCATCCAGCGCCAGGAATTTTTTTCAATGGAGCCTGCAAGTTGTTCTTTACACATCGTCATTCATCATTATCAACTTTCAATGATATTTTCTCTGTTGTTAACAGGAAAGGGTCCATCTTGTAGAGAGCATTCCATAAAAACATCCAATCTAATCTGAAAACAACTTGCATTCTCAACTTCTCTTCAGACATACCTAGTTCTATGATTCATTATTATTAAAGCTGGCTTATCTCTCTTTATTAAATCACCGGTAACATGGAAGTGACATCCAAATACGAATTCTATTAGACTCTGAAACACTCATATGGATGTCAGGATAGGATACCAGACAACTTACAGCGGGAAAGGTAAGCCAATACCCTACGAAGCGATCTGCGAAGAACCTCCATAGCTTAGGAGCATAAATAGCTAGAGGAATAAAAGGAAATAGAATAAATATAGATCCCAACAACGAAGAAATAAAAAGAAGAAAAACAAAAACAATTCCGTTCAATTTCCCAGCCATTAGTCCATTGGTGATCTGAAATGACATGGATACACGTTACGGATCTGGGCAATCTCAGCCGCTCAGGTTAAGCTTCAAAACATAATACAAATGAGTTTATTAAGTCCTTATACTATATAGTTAGAGTAATATCGAAAAGAGTTATACGCAATTGCGTCTCTCGAGCGAGAGGAAGAGCAATCGATGGCAGAGCGAAGTTCTACTTGCTATTGACCCAAGACTCTATTCGATAATATGATCATCAAGCAAGCCTACATATTCACACGCAATTCTGAAGTTCGGTGTCTTAGCACTACAACCAAGACAAGAAAGTAGGACAGATGGAAAGAAGAGCTCAGAAATCACTAAATGTAAGCTACGTCAAAAAGCATCGATTAGTCGTTGCGCATTCATTTCAAAAAACTTGGGAGGATTGTTTCGAATGATTCATATCTGACTTGCTGTAAGGTCTTTCTCAAATCGAAAATTGTTAAACATCGACGATTATGTCATGAATTTTGAAATGGCTCTGAAAAGGAGAAATATTTAATAAAAGAACGAAAGAGATATGAGAGCAACCGGTCTGAACGCCCGTAAAAAGTAAATGAAAACCAATGCCACGTCTAGAGAGCCGATATGCAAATGAGATTGACCTGAAGCGCAGGTGCTAGTGATCATAACTTGTTGTCTAATTACTTGTAGTATCTAATAGAACACACTGAGACAATATGTATATAAGCATGGAACTGATTTCTGATCAAACACGAAAGAATGTACAATATTTATTATAAATTACATGTCATATGATGAATGGAGTTCATTAACTCTAACCCATATTGCGTCACCTTCTAATATTCACAGTAAAACTGAGGAAAGCTCTCATGTGGAAAAACGATGAGAACAGTTGACTTTCAAAGTGTCTACTGTCAATGAGGAATCACTTCTATTTACGGTCACTTGAGGATTGACAATCTTAGTAAGTAGCTCAACGTTTTTGAATAACTGTGCCAGTTTGGAATCCAGTTGATTCTGACGTAAGCGAACTTTCGATAGTCGGTCCTCTGTTTCTAAGAAAGCTCTTCTAGCTGTGAAATAATCGTCTTCTTCTTCAAGTTGCATTCTTAGACGCCAACGAGTTTTGCGGAATCTTTAAATGAAAACGTTATGAAACTATTTCACTGGATGGAACTCACAAGGTCACTGCTCTTAATAGCCCCCTTTGGGCTGAAGCTAGTCGTAAAGCTCCTTGTGTGCTCCGATGAGCTTCTAATGCTCTTTTAAGCAATATAGATCTCCAAGTATTCTGTAGAACCCGTGCTGCCGCATGCTTATGACTGTAAACATAAGTTTGAACATGTTTTTTTTAAAGTTCTTACTCTCTTGTTAATTGGTTCTCAGCAATAAGATGATTAACACGCTTCTCACTCGATGATAGTGCTAGTCTTCGGCCAACTAGAGCAATCAATGTCGAGGAAAATAAGGTTCCCTAAAGAAGTTCGATTATACACAACTAGTCCTTTGAAAGCTTTGAGCTGAAAGATAGGACTGACCACAATTGCTGTTAGCATTGCAAGTCCTCGACCACAAAACGTTTGAACTTGAATATCACCATATCCAATCGAGAAGAAGGTCTGCAATTCATAAACTCAGATGGAAGGCAAAACGATTGAAACATACAATTATGACAAACCATAAGTAATCGAAGAAATGCTGAATACTAGAAATGGCAGGGAACGTATATCTATAAATAGGCCGTTCCTGTTATGAAAATATGAATAAGGAAACCTTTCGCATTGAGTCAGAGTCCAAGTGACTACAGTCCAGAAAAATAGAGTTCCTAGTCCCAGAACGTATAGTGGTCGTTTATACAATTGACTTTTGAAGACAAATCGGAAATCAACCCCTACATGATTCAGAGATGCGATTGTTCGTGTGGCACAATCCTACGGATTGCAATTAGAATCGAAAAGCTTTAATTACGAACCTGATATTGGCGACTATGCATCAAAATAAAACGACATATTATATAAAGACGGAGAAACATCGGAATAACAACGAGGACATTTGTTGGAATGTAGACACGTTCCCGACTTTTCGCAGCTTCAATTCCCAGTAAAGGCCAGTCCACAACTCCAGTATCTGAAAGTAAAGAGAATTAACGAAATAATTATTGGGAAATTCAAAAGAGCAACCGTCGCGTCCGAAACTCAAAGTTAAAATAACTTCGACGCCTCAAGCGTGAACTCACGCAAACATATGCTAATTTGTAATCTCAGAATTATGTAAATGAAGCAAATGTTTATACCTGGGAAAGGGCAAATAGAACAGACGAGAAGCTCGAGCAACAGTTTCATCAATCTTTCTCTAGTCATTCCAATCCGCCAGTGATCGTTCCCTGTCTCGATTAGATAAATCTACAGAGAAAGATGTTAGCCGCTACTTCAGTAAGACGCCTACCTTTGTGTCAACTAGATGATATGCTATGAGCGTTAATAATAGAAGAACAGTTAGAAATATGCAAATTACTCGTAAACCAAAAGATATGCCAGAGTGCTGTAATTGAACCTAGTATATACCGGATGCTCCTGGTATACTCACTGATATTGAAAAGGATATAAGCCTATAAGGCATTTGGCTAGCTGTCATTTCCACATCAATTATTGCCAGAAGTAAGCCAGACATGGCAAAGAACAATGTCCAATCACAGAGCTGAAAAGAATGCGGCTAAAGATGTTCAAGTAATGTTCGCTTACCTTCATTTTCAAGTCCATGAACTTCCTTCGTTGCTTGAATCGCGTTTGAGCCATCTCTGCAGTAGTAACTGAAATCCCGTACCCTCTTCCTTTGCGAGTGGTTGTGGCTTCTCGAGGTGTGGACCAGTCACTGCCTGAAGCGAAGATAAGCTCATTGCTATTCCGATAAATATTTTGTGAGATTCATAATCCCAACTTCCAAACGATGCCGATTTCAGATGAGGGACAAGGTGGCGACTCGATAATTAAACCGAATAACACAAAACTAAATGAAAAAGCTGCTCTAGCAAAATGTGCGAAAATCTCTCACATAACCGAACGGGAAAAAAGAAAACATTTCGAAAATTGCAAACGAAACTGACAAACCTTTCTGACGACGACGACTTCTCATCATTCCTATGTCGACAAAGTTTGTAAAATTATAAGAAATGGAGAAAGAGGAGAAATAGTAGATTTTTGAATATATGAAACGATATACGTGAGAAAATGATTGATGTGGCTTCATGGCCATCGAAGCCGACTACTAATTCCAACTTGTCCACATATGTTTTACATCAATTCATACACGATAATTTTGTTTTTTTCTCTTCTCGATGCGTTGTCACAGAGGTAGTTCATTGACAAGGAGGAAGAGAGAGAGTGAGAGGTGGAAGCGATGAGGAGATAATCAGATGTTAGATGGAAGAATGACAATACTCACACACACCTAGAAACTACCCAGAAGACAAAACATTATTTGATCGAATATGAGATCTTCAAGCAAGTACCAGACATCCCTGGCAGCTTGTTACCTAATAACATTCAGAATGAAATCATGTGTTTGTAGTCTGAGTCTAACTACATCAACTCCGATTTGACAGTTTCAAAGAATATGCTCTCACCTCGACTAGAAAATATTGTAAAACGAGGACTGCGTGATATTCCAACTGCTCCAGCTCGAACAGCTGCCATATTGCTGAAAAAGGTATATATTGTAAATAAGATAGTAAAAAATATTAATGATTTATATAACAGTTATGGAATGAGCAACACGAGTTGACTAGAACGACGACGGACGGGAGAATGATATGGGTTTCGGAAATTCCACTTCAATTTGGAGAAACATGGAAAACATTGCAAGGATAGAGAGAAGACAACTCATCAAGTAACAGCGAAAATACGAGATAAAGAGAGAGAGAGGGAAAGAGAGAGAGAGAGAGGCATTGGCACAGTCGAGCAGAAATGAAAAATGGTGCTCAGGTAAAACTAATGAAATCAACTGAATAATAATTCCATCATCATTCCGTTTTCGACCAACGAATTCTATCAACTGAAGTCTCGACGGCTTTTTCATTTTCTCTCATGTTGTCTCTTTTGTTAGAGAGAATATATATATAAATATATATATATAAAATATGGAGAGTGGAAAAGTAATCATGAAGCGACGTAAGTTGGCAATGAAGCTTCCCATGAACACTAAACTATTCAAATTAATGCCCAATGGACCAAAATGTATGAAAAACGCTTTGGGTTCGAGGCCTTTTTGTCTCTTGCTACTTTCCTTTGTAGCTTCATGTCTCTCCATATTCGCTGACTTTCTATTTTCGCCATCTCTTCTCTCCCTCTCAGCTTTGAACCAAAAACAGACTTTAGTTAAGTGGAGCAGAAATTAGTCAAGGTGCTCCAGTGAGCAGTAAAAGTGACTTCAATCAAAGTCAGAAGGCTTCATTCAAAGAAAAAAACGGAAACGAATGCTCATAGTCCTTTTCACGGAAGACTTATGCTTCTCGCCAACCTAATGGTAATTAACGATTAAACATCAACAGAGCTCAAAGGATAAAAAGGAAAAATGAGATGAACAGAGCGGAGTTTGAGAGGTCATACGTAACTTTCCTTTCTTAGATTAGCTGCAATTGTCGCCAACGGTTGAAGTTCAAAGACTTTATTCGAAAGTTGTCTTTCAGCTAACAACCTCCATGGCTCCAGAAGTCAATGCAAAAGCAGTTTTCTATTTTTCCGCATGTTTCACGTGATGTTGCAACAGCTTACCAAAGTTCACGTGAAACCCCACGTGAATATTATTTTGTTGTTTGTGCGGAATGGAAAACGGTTGAATCTGTTGCCTCCCTTCTTTCGATCCAGAATGAAATTTGAGGTAGCAATGTTTTCCGAAAAAGGTTAACACACAAAAACATACTGGCAGCTATGAATCGAGAGAGGCTATTTCTATGCCAGCGGATGATAAACGTTTCCTATGAAAAATGACGTTAGTCCTTTTATCGACTAGGTGCATGAAGATGAGACAGAACAGCAATTTCATATTCGAATTATTCGGAATACGAGTTATGCTTCCACGTTTGCTCACTTCCTTCAACCGCTTGCAAATCATAACACTCTCTTATCAATTCATCCAACAGCCGTTGTTTCTTGTTATTCACAAAAGGCGAAATTCTAAAGCTGATTTTTGAAAGAGAAATATGCTTAATGGATGGTTTTCAACTGAGAAACAGTAAATGTCAATAGAAAGCCGTTTGAATAGGATGGAACAGCAGAAAAAACAAGTAAAGTGTGAAAACGGAAATTCGATCTTTCCTTATTTCCACGACTTCTCTCCACCCCTTTGAAACTTTAATTAGAAGAAAAAAACCAAAAGCCAAACATGAGCGAAGATGCAATTTTAATGAAAAGCTCGAATCTCGGGATGTTGCTTCTCCCAGTAATCGGATATCTGTGGCTACTGGCCGTAGCAGGAAGCTAAAAAAATTCTCTTAAGCCATATGCAAACTGAACGAAGTAGCACGTCAATTGCATCCACATGACGACAGGGAAAAGCAAAAGAAGGAAGAAAAACGGGTGAAGATGCAGTAAACGGACAGAATTTCATTAAGATCAGGGAAGAAGTAGCTCCAACGAAAGCGGATGGAATCTGGGCGTTTGGTATGATGAGCTTATCTTGGAATGGCATCGTAAAAGCAAGCCCCACGTGTTTTATTCGAGGATATCCTTTTTCGAAGATGAAAATGAGAGAGATGAGAAGACGACCAATACGGTTATGATGATCAAGAGAAGATGAGTAGTATCATGAAATGAAGAGTAGATGAAGAAGGAGCAGAAACGAAGACAAACACAATGCACATGTGGAAGAGAATCTTTCTCTCGATTAGAGCAACAGAGATTTGAAATCCATTTAAGTCAAGAAGTATTGAATATCGTCACGGACAAATACTACTAATCAAGAGAAGCGAAATCTGTCAAAGAAACTAATATGAAATTGGAAGTAAATTCCTATTTTCCACCAAAGCCAATGATATTGTATTCAAATTGCATTTCTCCTTTTCATCATATTAAAGCTTTTTTGACTTTTTGATAAGAAAAAGCCTGTTTACAGCTCCAGACGATGGAAAACGAAAAATATTTGAAAAATGGCTGAGAATTCAGAAAAACCTCGACGAGCGAGAAGCACAACGGTTCCAGTTTGGAAATTAATTATTCAACATTAAATATTAACTTGTGGGCTTGAGAAGTTGTCGAGGAATTAATAAATTCCTCAAAGATTGCGTCGGTTGTAGATGTTACATCCTGTTGGCTCCCATGCTGAAAGCCAACGAGAAGGAACTGAGAACAAGCACAACTCCTCACAAAAGTATAAGAGAACTTTCAACCGTTGCAACCAACTCGAACCAGTGTCTAAAAACAATCCTAAAACGTGGAGCAAGCAACTGATTGTCACAAATACAAGTGGCGCCCAAGCGAAATGGATAACGGTGCGTTGACTTTTTTGAAAAAAAAAGCGCAGCCAGCTTCTGAGTTTGCGGATAATTTATGGAATAAGCATCTGACAGGAAATTGGCAATAATGCCTCAGGCTGAACGCGCGCTAGCGAATGATGTATTATCCGTGTGGCGGTCCCCTTCGGGAAAAAAGAGTAGACAAGAGGTCCCAGAACAAAAAAATGCGCTTCCGCAAAGATAATGAGAACGAAAACCTCTCATGACAACAATAAGAACTTTTGAATTGCGAGAGAAAGAGCGAGAGCAGTAAGGAGTTCTGGACAGAAGCATTGCAAAGAAATTCTCCTGAGCAAAGAGAAAGAAAGGGATTCTAGTGAAGGAGGAAAGATTGAGCATTTTAAAGAAAAATAATTTCGAATACTAATGGCTACCACTCGGATATGAATGAAATTTTGCTTGGAACTAGCAAAGAAAACAGAAATGATCTTAAACTTAAGCAAGAAGGAAAAAGCAAAAACGAAATCATTTCCCACTTCATATGTTTTGGATGAACACAGACTGAAGTAGAGATCTTAACAAGTAATTAAGTAACACGCAGCACACAAATAATAAGAGAACTTCATCAATGGGAACGCGTCATCCCTCTCTCAAATGGAGGAACAGAAAATGAAGCAGAAAGGAGAAAAAACGATGTGTTTGGTGAGATTGGAATTCGATTACAATTTCAATGAAAACCAATCACTACAAGCATAAATCTGCCAATAACTCAGTTGATGAAGCTGGGAATCATCTGGGTCGAGGCCGATAAAAAAAAATTAGAAATTTAGATTAATAATGCTTATAAAGAAATGATTGTGTGGGTGAGAGAGAATGAAAGAGCTGAGTGTAAAAAAATGATGAAAGTTCATGGACAGCTGTTCAGTTTCAAACAGCAGCAAAAAATGCTAAATTGAAATGTGAGATTAATCTTGTTTCGGAAAACACTGCATTTACCGTTTGTGGGGAGAGGATGTCCCGGAACTCTAAGAAAACAAATGGGGAGGAAAGAGCTTCAAGAGTGAGCTGCAAACTGCTGTAAGGTCTCCTTTTAAAACGCCAAAAGAAACATTTTCAGTATTCCCCATAGAGTTCTGGACAAACTTTCTATCCTAACCATGTTCAGAACCATCTTAATACAGAAAACAACCTAGACTTCCCATACAAAATATATTCATCCTAACCAAACAGAACATGGTTGTTGTGAACAACACATGATGAGGAGTAAGAAAAATGTGCAACCGATCTTCACGCAACCGCATTCAAAAATGAAATGAGCAACGAGCTTCACGTCATACACGTACATTCACGAGTTATGCTAATTTTGTCCGCATGAGTCCGTTCAAACATTTGAAAATTGAAAAAAATTATGGAATTAACAAGAAGGATACTAGTTGTAGTTGGGAAACGTGAACGAAAGAAACTATAAGTAGAACAAAATAAAACTTACTTGCAGCAGCTAGGGAATTCATTATTCAAACGAATAAGTTCACGTTGGATATAATGGGACACATTGAACAATAATATCCTTTACGCAATAGTACATGTCTGAAAAGAATCTATGACGGATTTGAACAGCTTAATTGGATTAGCAAATGGTAAGAAATGTAAGCCATGTATTACTTGCTGACGTTTCAAGTAGTAACTGTACGCTCTGAGTGTGATAAATGCACATCAGGTAATAATCACCATCACTTTCGCTGCACCAATGCTGACAAGATCGTTTCGCAATAAAGCGAAGCTTGCAAGTTGTAAAGGCTTACGCATACTCATTGTTTGCCGATTCACACTGCTCTGTCTTAGCTGTTATATATGTATTATATTGTTTCACACTAAATTTTCATTATAATTGTAAGGTTTAGATGACGACGGAAGAATCGCCATGTTTTGTGAGCGGGCTATTCTCGGTCGTTTTGGTCGGAGTAGTCTCATTCATAGCCAGGTCAGAAATATCTTTATTACAGTTAATATTTATAATCAATATACAGAAAGTTCTTCAAAGGAACACAATTCACAGAACGAGTATCAGCTAAGGAAAAAGTTGCAGTGGTAACTGGAGCAAGTGGTGGCATTGGATTGGAAACTGTTGCCGGGTTGAATAAGGCTAAAGCGAAGGTATTTGGAGTTTTGAGAATGACGAAGAAAGTATATTTGGCACAGGTTTACATGCTGTGTCGTAGTCTCCCGAAAGCAGAAGAGGCAGTTATAGATTTGGTCAAGGTAATACTTTCTACAAAACTTATCGATAAGGATCCATTTGTTCTTTCTCTTTTATTTTGATGAGATAGTCATCGAACTCATCAATTGACTTGGCTCCAAATCTCCCAATGAAAACACCGAGCGATAAAGAGGAGATGAGCAGAGTTAATAGAATGTTCCTCCTCTTCACACAATTTCTAACTTCATAAGGCACCATAACTCGGAAAATGGGAGACTCGAGCGGCACAACTCGTGTACTTCTCAGAGCTCGTTCAGCAGAAGCCTAGAAAGACACAGTAACGGCGTAGTCCTGGAACCTAAAAACAAACAATAACTCCTCTAATAGGCCGTAATGCTTGGAGATTTGAGTCAGAAGTATAAATCATCGGCTTACACTCCACAAAAATATTTTGAGGAAGAGAAGCATTGTCCTTCTTCTTGTCATAGAGCATATCTGCAAGAATATGAGTAATATAAATATAATTTCAGAAAGGATGTGACGCCACGAGACTCATAATCGTACATTGCGACTTCAACGATTTCAATAGCGTCCGTCAATGTGCTAAAACTGTGTTGGAAGGTTTATAGCAACAGAGATGAGACTAAGTATTGATCAACATATTTTTTCAGTGGAAAGTAAGATAGACATACTCGTCAACAATGCTGGCGTAGCATGTACTAAATATGCGAAATCAGTAGATGGCCATGAAGAGACTTGGCAAACAAACCACCTTGGTTAGTGTTTTTCTTGAAAATGTTGGTGAAAAGCATGTTAGACGATTGATTAAGCGGAAAGAAGTAGCTGATAAGCAAATCATGATTGAGAAAGGAGAAAGAAATAAAATGAGAAGGTATGAGTATGTATAAATCGTTGTTAGAAGTAGAACACGCTGATGAGAATGAAAGAACGAGAAAAGCGATGAACAGATGTGGAGAAAGAATGTTCAAATGTTTCGCTTGTTATCTTAATGACTTGTATGTTTGGGAGGAGAAGAAGCTCCTTCAATGAATGACTGCTTATTTCTGAAACAAGTTTGTCCTCATCTAACAACAAGCAGAAGCTGATAGGCAAAGATAGTAGTTACAAGACAACATTGACCTTAGTTTGGGCCTTCCCAGCGAACAATAAGGCTGCTTCTATTTATTTTCTTCTTCTCTGACATGTGTGCAGATGTAGAAAAATATTTTGCGATTCTCCACTGCATGGAAGGCCTATCGATTTGTTTTTTTCAACTTTTGCTACTTGTTTCTCCATTGCTTCTGATCCTCTCAGTAATTTCTGATCATGCCTACCAATTTCCAACAGGTTTTTTCACATTCATCGAGAGAGAGAAAAACTGTTTCCTCTTGCTCTCGTTTCTTCTCATGAGACTTGAGCTAGTTATTTCTTCAACCTGTACAAGAGGCAATCACTTCATTTCCAGGACCATTCCTGCTTACTGAGTTGCTTCTACCTGCCGTAAAGCAGGCCAAAGATGGTCGTATCGTTAACGTATCATCTCGTCTAGCTCTCAAAAGCCCCCGTATCGATGTTAACACAGTTGATGAAAAATCTTCTTTTGGACTGCTGACTGCGTATCCTCGCTCCAAATTGGCTAACGTGCGTTTGAAATTTATTCCATTTTGCTAATATTCCTGTTTTTATAGATCATGCACGCCAGAGAACTAACTCGAAAACTGAGGGCCAATGGAAGCAATGTCATCATCAACAGTTTACATCCTGGAGTAGTCAATTCCGAGCTTGGTAGGAACACATTTCTTAGTATAACTCCGATCTTCCAAATCACTGCTCCTTTCCGGTTTGTGATAGTTTTTGTTTCGCCTTTCATGTTCTTTTCTATTCAAGTTGGTTCTTCATGAAAACTAACAGAGATGGAGCTCAAACTACTCTGTACGTAGCTCTGAGTAAGAAGGTTGATGGTGTCAGTGGCAAGTACTTCAGGTAAATCACCTATGAAAATAAAAGAGCTACTAACTCTTTTCTTCAGTAACTGCAAGCTATCCGACGAAGGACCAATCGCAAAGAACGAATCAGATTGCGAAGCTCTGTATGAGTACAGTTTGAAACAAGTTGGACTATTGAAATCCAATGCTTAAGACCCAGTAGCACTGGTGTATATGCAAAAACTTAAATCGTAAGGGAATAAAGAGTTTTAATCGAACATTAGTCGCTATCCTTATCGAAAAACAAGCAAAAAGGCTCAGAAAATGTAAAAGCGTGAAGATTCACGTGCCAAATAGGGCAGTTGAACTTTCATAGAAGCCGAAGGGCAATGCTACACAACTCGAATCGGAAGAATTATTGGGGAGATTGGCGAGCACAACAGCTTTATCCCTCATTGTTGATGTTGTTTTGAGAAACTTTGTTTTGTTCACAAAGAAACTTCTCTATGATGAATGTAGTGGACTGATTCGTAATCAATGAACACATTTCTGACGAGGCAAACGTCATAGAAAAAAACGCTGTCAGAATTCGTTTTCGTGGGTGTTTCAAGGAAAGGATCAAGAGGATTCTCTCACTCATACAACATACTTAATAGATTATAAACTGTTAATCATCACCTCATGAACTCAACATACGGGACAGTTCACACTCAACTTAGGAGGTACGATGAACTGAATGACTATGTTAGGTAAAAAAAACGACCAAGTTCAAGATTTCAGTAAAACGTTTTGTTGAAGCGAATCACCTACACAAACTCTAAAACCTCATGTTTTGCCTGATATCTAGACATTTATCTGGTGCTTCTGCTTTACAACCACACATCTTTGCCCTCCCCCTCGTTCTCTTTCTTTATCGTCTCTCCTCTTTTTGAGATTGTTAGGCAGAGAGCCCAGAGATCATTACAATAGAGAGAAAAAGAAAAAGTCTTTCTTAGAGAATTAGCAGTTAGATCAGTTTGAAATAGCATCAAAGTGACAGAGACTGAATGCAATAACAGAAAAAGAGAAAGACCTCAGGCTAAACCAGGAGAGATCTTCAGTGGAGACGAACCGGATGCGTTTTTGTTTCTACTTCTGATTGAAATCTATTTACCTCCTCATACTCCTCTCTCTAATTAGCGCTGATCATATCAATGAATGACAGTACATTGTTAAGCTCAGCTATGTTTTTATAAAGTGCGCTTGCTCAACTATCGTCATATGTCATCCACCTTATTTCAAGATATATCGTTGCCTTCGCTTGATTCAAAAATCTTTTTCGTACTTTCTCCTAACAGCTTTCTCACCAATTTGTTAATCTGTGATCAAATAACATTCCACTTACTGGATATATAAGTAACCAATTTGATGGATGAACGGATTGTTACAACTTCTTCCATCCCATTTGGGCCAGCAACAACAATCCTCATTCAACTCAGCTGTCTCATCGTCTCACCTATAAGTATTTCAACATTTTCAATCTCATTATCTGAATCTCACTATCATATAGTTAGTAACATCGTTTTCCACTCTCCCTTAGCTCAGATGAGCCCTTTTATGCTTACTTTTGCTAACCACAATGGAAAAATGTTGTAAATCTCTGCGAGCAGCTGTCACTACTTCATTTCACCTTCTCATATTCGAGCTGCATATTCATAATTGAGAAATTATAAGTTGGAATTACATTTGTTTCTTAATTTACCGCTTACTCTTACTCTCTTCTGCTTATCCGCTTACTTTGTACTGTTCATACTACTACTTGTTCATATTGCACTTCATCTTCGTAGTTCTCTTTCTCTCTCATTGGCCAACTGAAAAAGTATTGTTTTCATATAATGACTGCTACTGCATATACTTTTTTTTTGTTGAGAATCTTCTTCACCATCATTAAGCTCAAGATGTTCTTGCATGCTTGTGCTTCTGTTGGTTCCAATTGATTTGACTTTTTCAATCTGCGTCAGCCGTTCATAAAGAATGTGAGCTTGGTAGTTATGAAAGGAACACAGTCTGTGAGCTTTTACCCAATATTAAACTGAAAATGTCGTGTTATCTATCAAGTCCCTGAGATGGGCTCTCTTATTCTTGTCTCCTATTTATCTTGTAGTTTTATTTCAAACCTTTTTTTCCTCTCTCTTACTCTCTCTCTCTCTCTCTGTGTCTTAGTAAGCAAAAGGCTGGGAGGGGGAGGCTAGAAGGCAAGGTGAGATTTAAGAAACACTTTGTGAGATATTCATCTAACATAATGCAAAAACTGAGAGTATATCTAACTGCAATCTGTCTGCTTCGATTGAGCAGAAGAGAAAGCCCGGCTCTTTTTATCTTATTTCTCTTTTCTTTGCTCTTTATCCCTCTCATCTCTTCTTGGTCACAACAGCTGTTCTGTTAGGTTTGACCGTTGTCAATGAAGCTGATAAATGAGGGAGCAGCACACGTTTTTGCTATTCCTTAACAACATTTTGAAACTTTGGTATAGTTTAAAAAAATAAATTAATCAGTATTAAACCAAATCTTGTCGAAAACAAACAACTTCATGACCTTTCCATCACGAGATACTTTCATACTGTCTTTCTTCTCTATTACATGTTTCTCTCTTTCAACACCACACTCTGTTTTACTTTCACAGAATCGGGTTAGACATTGATAGTTCCGTTAGGACTAGCAATGGATAGAGATGAGCACAATCTACCACAATCCTCTCGTACCGAAAATTCTCAACAACTAGGAGTTGATACAAACACAGAATGGTTGATGGATGGTCAGCCATCACCAAGACGTGTTGTTACAGCCCCTACTAGTCCATCTACAGCATATACAACAGGTAAAAAAATGACACACCTTCATACACCGGCTTTCTTTGAAGATAGAGAAGCTGTTTTCCGATCGGGCAGCGCTACAGTCGCTGAAACACATTTAATTCGATCATCAGGATCGCAATCACAGTCATTTACCGAAGAGCATTGGAGTAGTGAGATTACAAGCTTTATTGCTGCTGCTCCACCTAAATTCATTCAAGTAACGACTTATAGCTTTCCACGTTATACCAACTCGTTTGCAGGTTATTAAAGCGTACAGAGTGCTATCTTCAGACACACCAACACTTGTCGTAGAAGTTGCTTCAGATCCTCCAGCCATTTTCGAATGGTTCTGCAATGACAAGCCAGTTCAACAGGTTCGTACATTGTTTGAATACATCAACAATATTCTGCGGTCATTGCAGGACAGAAGAAAGTTCCAAGTTCGTCATGGCTTGAATATAACAACATTAACAGTCACGCAACCTGATCAAGGAGTTTACAAATGTACAGCCAGAAATCCAGCTGGATGCAGCACCAGTTATGGATATATCACTGTAAACTGTAAGTAATTATAAAGACCAACTTATTGAGCATAAAATAATTGAAGTTGAACACCGATACGAAGACTGGAGTGTTTCATCTGATCAAACAGAAGTTAAAAAGGAAAGAAGCAGCTCAATAACTCACAACTTGGCACCAAGATTCATCAACCAAGTTCCCAACTTGACAGTACCACCAGGACAAGAAGCCGTAATTGACGTCGTTTGTGATGCTAACCCTCCGGCCAGGTAAATAGAGAAACAGTCTTTATAGATTAATTGATCTGGAATTATAGATTTGCTTGGTTTGTCAATGGCAAGGAATTCAAAGAGAATACCAATGTGGTGGACATATTCTATCCAGAAGAAAACCGATGCGTCGCTCGTTTCCATATCCCAACTTCTGGCGAGTATAAAGTTGTAGCATCGAACGTTCATGGTACAGCCATGAGTTCTGGCTTTATCGAAATTTATCAAGGTAAAACTGAAATGAAATATCAATGTAATTGACCATTCTAGCTAATCCTACCAAACAAATGCGTCCACCTCTTGCTCCAGGTGAGCAATTAGCTCGAACTGTTATGACATCGAGCCAACAAGCAGGACAAACCACAACAGGAGAACACACAACTTCCACACATCAGGTATTGATACCAGACGCTATACTAATAATAAAAAAATTCCAGTCTACAAGTGTGTACGAAGTTAACTATACCCAGAGATCCAGCAGTGTCCCAAGAGGTGTTAGACATCTCGAGCGCCACTTTGAGATATCGAAATCCCCCGAGAGAACTTTGTCGAATCTACATAGATCAGGTAAATATAATAGATTGAAACAGTTTTAAACCCATAGCTTACCTAACCTGTTTGACAATCGTTCATGCTTTTTTGCTTTTGACAATTTGCTTGATAGCCGTGTAGTGTCTGTAGATGGCATGCTGTAGCCTCGCTATAACCAAGCTTTTGTTGGAACTCTGAAGTTGAATAGAAAAACTAGAAAATTAGAGCTTGTGCTTGCTTAGTTCGACAATTTCGAACAAGATACACCCATTCCCTTTATTATCAGCAAAACACAAATCTAGACTGACCTTCTTTGTGTGAACTAATGTTCTTTCAGACGCATCTACAGCAACGACTCAACGGATTCCTCGATCAATGCACAAGACCAGGAGCGAAGGAGGAAAATATCTTCCTCATCCACCAAAATTCCTTACTAAACTTCCTGAAACCATCACAGTTCGTCCAGATGAGAAGCTTGTCCTTTCCGTCGATGTCAGTTCTATCCCAACAGCCGACTTCAAATGGGATGTGAATGGCTTCGAGGTGAAACAATCGAAAAACGTCACTCTCCTGAACGAACAGAATCGTTCAACTCTAGTTGTCAATCCTCCTGTCAAACAAGGAAAGTATAACGTCATCGCCACAAACGATGTTGGTCGTGATGCTTTACTTACTCGAGTAACTCACATTGTCACGGAAACTGTAGAAGAAATTCATTCCGATATTCGCATTTCAACGCCATCTCCACTTCCTGTTGGTCCAGAAGTAGTAGAGTCAGCCGTGACAGTCACTAGTGCTCCTGAGAGCGATTGGGAACTGATAGATGATAACCATTCTAACAATTCTACAACGTCTTTCGAAACAGTACTGAAAAGACAAGAAATTATAGCAGTTAAAACCGAAGAAACCTTGATCACAACAGAAGAAGACGTTGTTGTGGACAAATCATTGGAGCAAGCAGAGCAGCCTATAGTAGATCAAACTTCTGTGAACACATCGTACACCAAACGGGTAATTAGGACTGGCCGCCCTGATGCTGTTCCAAGAAAACCAACATTGTCTAAGCCTACAATCCAGAAAATCCATGTGAATCGAGGCGAAAAACTCATACTCGAATCTAAAGTTGACTCTGATCCTTCGTCCAAATTCGAATGGTATGTGAACAACTTTGAAGTGAAGAGTGGTCAATTCATCATTATTGAAAATGTAGATGAGAACCATAGCCGAGCAACATTCCTCAAACCTATAGCTGGTAACTATAAAGTAATTGCTCGAAACGAATTTGGACAACTTGAATCTGTGACGAAAGTCACTACTGAAGTTGTCGAAGAGGAATTTATGGAGAAAAGTACAGTCACGACTACCATTACTAAACATCCAGAGCAACCTTCGAATATGTACAAACTTGTACGCAAACCTCAACATGAAAAAGCAGGATTGCCAAAAGCACCGGCTTTCTTACAGCAACTCCCTGCCATTCTGAGGATCAACGATGGAGAAGATCTTCGGTTGAAGGGTGTTGTCTCTGCTATCCCTCCTGCTAGTTTCTTGTGGAGGCTTAATAATTTCGAAATAAAAACTGGACCAAACACTCAAATTCTGTTGGAGCAAGAAAACTCAACTGAGTTGTTCCTAAAGCATGCAGGACCTGGAAGATACGAGATAATGGCAACGAATCAATTAGGACAAGCAAGCTCACAATGCAAAGTTATTGTGGAGTATGAAGATGTCCATCAACAGAAAGTGAATAATCCTCCAGTATTCATACAAGCTTTGCCAACAGAGACTATCGTTGCAAGTGACGAGACTCGTGTTGTCGTAACCGTTTCCGGTGTTCCTCCTATCAACTTCAAATGGTTAGTGGATGGAATACCAATTGAAAACGATAATCGAATTACCTCTGTGATCGAAGGCAATCGAGCTATACTTATTTTGAAGAAGCCATTAGAGAATAACTCGCTAATTGAAGTGATAGCGAGCAATTCGTTTGGAGAAACGACAGCCCAAACGAAAACGATTACACAAGATCGCCAACCTGAACAAACGTTGAAGCCAGTCGAGGATAGAGCTCCAGTGTTCGCCAAAGAATTGGTGGACATGGAATTACTTGAGAACTGTCCACTTGTGTGCGGAGTTGGTGTGGAAAAAATCTCGGATGCTTGCACTTTTTACTGGACACTCGACAACCAGCCAATCGATCCTTCTACGGGCTATGTCGTAGATTCTACAACACATGAGAGCATTTTGACGATTGAACGCATACCTGTGACGGTATCTGGTGCTCTTTCGGCAGTTGCTCAGAATGAATTCGGAACTGCCGTAACAACAGCAGAACTTAGCGTGCAGAGTGAGTTGGTTTGCTCTGTATGATCTGTTAACATTTTTTTTATAAATGCTTGATATGTTTAAAGCTTAACCTGTTAGGAAAACTTTCTTCTAATTCTATCTAAATACCATTTTTTCTAATAACAGGGCAACCATTCTGTTTTCAGAAACTGAAGAACCATTTGAGATGGTTGCTCCAGATATTCCAGAAGAATGCGCACCGAAAATCTTGGAGCCCCTTCATTCAGCTTCATTCATGGATGGTAAACCTAGATGATCAAGAAGTTTACAACTATAATTTTTAGGACAACCTATGGTTTTGAGATGCAAGATTCACGCTTCTCCTTCTGCAATCATTGTCTGGTCCAAAGACGATGTCAATGTGGAGGAGTGGGTTATAAACAAGGATGTCTTTACACAGGTGAGTATCCTATAATCAAAACAATCACCAGTTGTTCTTGCAGATATTACCTGGAGGTATATGTGAGTTGGTTAACCCTGAGTGTTATGAAGAGGATAGTGGCGTCTACAAGTGTCACGCTTCCAATCCTCATGGGACTGCTGAAACCTCGGCTTATATTGCAGTTGAAGGTGACTAAATACTAAGAAGCCATCAGAAAAACGTTATACTTTAGGTGCCACATACCATAAGGACAGAGAAGAAGCTTCAATGAGCGAATCTATGTCAAGCGCGATGGTTGATGAATTTGTGGCGGACGGAGAGAAAATTATCCTTCCACCCAAATTTGTTGAGAGCTTGACAGCTGAGACAGATGCTATCCAAAACTTGAATTATATCAGAATAGTAGGAAAAGTTACAAGGTAAGATAATAAAACCTGCTGCGCTGTTCCAGTAATGTTATTTCAGTGGTAGTAATTACACCGTGACCTGGCTCAAGGAAGAAGCTCCACTCGCTGAAAGTGAAAAATATGAGATTTACCAATTCGATGATGGATCTCAGATACTTACTATCCATTCACCTGGGCAAGCGGATGAAGGTTAGTAAAACGTAATATACAAAAAACATTTCTTTAATATAGGTGTCTATACCTGCAAAGTGGAATCGGAGCACGGACTCAGCAGCAGCAGCTGTGAAGTGCGCCTTCCATCTGAGATAGACAAACTTGAAGACCTGGAAATGCCATCAACGAGCCCATCACCTGAAGAAACTCAAGCGGATGTAGAATCTAATCAACTTATAAAACCATCTCATAACAATAATTTCAGATTGTTCTTGACGACACTGTACTTGTTGAATTGACAATACCTCAAGAGGTTCCATCATTGAAAGCTGATGATCGAATTGATAGAATAACAGAAATTACTAAAAACGAAGGTGCGTCTCATAGGTACTGAAAGCATTCTTACCTTTTGTGATTAAGAAGAATTCAAACTGCTTGTGAAAGTTGCTGATACCGTGGCTAGTACTCTTGTCGCTAATATTATCGTAAGCGCAGTACGCGAAGCTGCTCGCATAATTGCTGATGAATCTTCCGAGGTAAACCGCTTCACTCACCGGTTACCAAACCGACTGGAGATGAATACGACCGCATCTTTGGAAAATAAGTTCATAAATAAAATTGACGTGAGCGTCAGTCACGTGAAAGTTATTTACCCACGTTTTTTCAATGATGCGGTTGTATCTTATTCCATCACACAATAAATGTGAACAACTAAATAATAAAAATAACAATTTAAGGATGAGGAAGATAAGTTAGCTGCAGAGCAGAATAGTGCACCACGTTTCGATACGTTGGTGGAAGAGTATGTGGCTACGGAAGGAGGAGCTATTCGCATCAGTACAACAGTAGGAGGTTATCCAACTCCATTCGTTGAATGGAAGTTCAATGGACAAAAAATCAATATCACAGAGTGAGTAACTATGATGAAATCGCACTAAACTATTTTATTAAGAAAACTCAGCATGTCTTACGAGAAAGGCATCGCATCTCTGAACATGAAAGATTTGCAATTAGATTCGGGTGGAACTTACTATTGTCATGCTACGAACATGCACGGAACGAAAATTTTGGAAACCCGCTTGAAAGTATTACCTAAAGCTTCTGATATGAACATTAGATTCTCATTAGCTAACTACGATAAGCAAGAAGCAAACGAGAAGGTGATAGCCATTTTTGTCAAATTTTAATTGCTTTCCTCTTTACAGGTGATCACCAATGTTTTCGCACATAACACGGAGGACAATACCGAACAGAACATCAAAATATTAGAAAAGCGACGGGATAGCCAATCAGCTTTGATCGTTGTTCCTACAAAAGAGAAGGAACAAGATGAATCCATAAAAGCAGATGAATCCGCTGATTCTTATGAGACAGCCCGTCAGGATGAAACTCAATCACAAGCTCTTCCACTTGATATAGCAGCACAACAAGTTCAAGAGCAATCTACTTCTTCGGTTCCTATGGATAGTATAGAATCTAATGAGAACAAAGCCATTGAAATAGTCATCGCTCCGCCGGAAAGCGGATCTTTGGCTGTTCAGGATGTAGGAAAACCACAGTTGCCAGAGGAGATAGTGGCACAAGAAATTGTGTCAAATGTCATTCAGGAGCTCAATGAGGATGTTTTGAAGAAAGCAGCATCTCCACTCACCTCAAATGAGAACGAAATGAAAACAACTCCAACTGAGCAGCTTGTTGTAGAACAACCTGATTCAATCATTGAAGAAGAGAAACCTGTAGAACAACCTGTAACAAAGGAGCAGAAGGTGGAGAGTTTTGATGCAACGACGTTAGAGATTGTAGAGAAGCCTGTCAACGTCATAGACAAGGTAAATTTGAGTTATCTAAATGTAGTAATGACAATGAACTTCAGGATGTTCAAGCCGCAGCAGAGAAATTCGCTCAATCGTTCACCGAGAGTGTAATGAATCAAGCTGCGGTAGTACTCACAGCTCCGTCCCAAGAGGAAAAGATTTCTACGGAAATTTCAAAATCCATAATTCATCTTTCAAAGGATGCTGAAGAGGAACGAAAGAGTGAGACTATGCGATATGATGAGAAGGTATCTATAGTTTTGTTACGCGAAGATTAATACCTGAATTTCAGCTGAAAGTTATAGAAAATCGCCTCCGATGTGCCTCTTCACCTGATCTTACTGCTGAAGAAGCTGTGAATATGGTTATGAACACAGTTCTTTCTTTAAAAGAACAACATCAAGCTGATACTTTGATCACTGTAGATGTTAGAAACCCCGATACGGAATTCAGTCATGTTGTAACTGTATACGAGCCCTTAGCTCTTCAATTGAGCCATCGTTTGAATGCAACAACGAACGAGCTAAAATTCATCGACCTAGAAACGATATTACAAAAACCTGGTACATCTTCAGAGACAACCCATGTCGTCGAAACTCTATCATCGAAAAGAGCTTTGGCAGAACATAGAATAGTTGTCTTAGAAGGTGTTTCCAAAAACTTCCAAGATGCTATGACATGGAGTTTACGCAAGGTTGGTCAACTTCTAGAAAAAAAAACTATTTTATATTAATCGTTTAGGTCAAACGACTAGTTGACGAAGAAGAAAGTACAAACGCCAATATTGAAGTTGTACAACCCCAAGACGAAGCAACTCAAGGAACCACAGTGGTAATTCCAGAACAAATCATTCCTGATTTGCTGCAAGTCGCAGCAGCCGCTAGTAAACTGAAAGTGAGTCGTTTTTCGGGTTCTATCAGTGAAACAATCTTTCAGCTTGAAAATGTGACAGTTAGCTTAGTAAAACAGGGAGATGCATCTCATCAAGAGCTGATTATCGAATACGAAAGTCAGTTAGAAGATGAGGCAAACTTAGCTGTCTCCCAACTGAACAGAAGCCGACAAACTTCGGTAACGATTAAGTCAAGCAACTTTCATTATATGGATTGTTCCAGGAAACGAGAGAAGAAAAGTGGTCAAGGCCCACTAGATACTCTGATGAGAACGATCTGAATGTTGTAGCAGTTTTTGTTGAAGTTGATGCAACATGTCCAGATCAAAGCGTCGAAATTGTGGCTAGTGTGAACATGCCATTAGACAGTATTCCAGACGGAGACAGTCCAGGAAACCCACAAGTTGTTGATGTACGAGAGCCGAGCGACAGTGCTACGGAATCTTCAAGTACTGGCCTACAACCACCAAAGTATGTATCTAACAATATCTCTGATTAATTGTTATCAATAGGTTCTTCCGTAAATTAGAAGACTGCAAGGCAGTTGTAGGAAACCCCGTACAGTTCAAGTGCATTGTCTGCGGAACACCAACTCCTGAAATTTTGTGGACTGTTGATGGAGACGTCATCGAAGCAAACCAGTAAACTATAGTCATAGTTAACTTCTGTTCATGCTTGATCTTCAGAGAGTACACGATAGTTTTCGAGGACGGTGTATCGATTCTTCGAATCAACGAAGTGTTGTCGGAAGATGAAGGAGAATATTGCTGTATAGCTACAAACAATGCTGGTTCATCAACTACCAAATGCTTTTTGAAAGTATTCAGTAAGTTCCATTTAGCCACTCTTTTTGAAAATCACATAAGAAACGTTAGAAAGTTTTGTCATGTCGGAGTCGACGTCAAGCAACGACATCTCAAGGTGTAAATCACAAAATAAAACGTCGATTGATTATACCTTATTAGGCAATTAGTAGAAACAATATATAGAAGCTATGAACTAGACATAAAAGTCATGATCATCATCATCACCACCATCATCATCACTTATCCGATAGCTTGAGAACTTTGTCTTCCTTACTGTCACATTCCACTTAAGCTCAACCTTTCTCTCTAACCAACCCTTTTCCCTATTGATTCCTACTCTTCTTTATTTCTCTCTTCATTCTAACCGTTAAAGATAGAGAAAAACACGTTTTGTTTTGTGTTTTGTGCTTTGTAATTGTGTGTTGTTTGGCGCGCTCTTTCTTGCATTTAGTTCAGCATGACCGTAGAATTCGACTAGGAGCTTTTGTTTTCTTACAGATGAACAGGAAGATGCCAACAGCTGCGAGATTTTCGCTAATAGGTACCTTGAAAATGATAACGATGCTCTTTTCGAGGAGGTGCAACAGAAGGCTGTGCCTATAGAACATCCAAATACAACAGCTCCATCAGCATTTCTTCTCGAAACAGTTGAAAAGCCAGTTGCAGCTTTACGAACTACAGCTAAATTCAACGAAGATCTGAAGGAGATGAGTTCTTTCTATAAATACCCAGAGTCTGGAGAAATAGCAGTGAAGGTTACTGAACTAATTCAGGAAAGCCAAGTGCAAGGTGACTTCCAAGTTCCACGATCCAAAATCCCACCTGTTCCACCTCCGAAGCCTAAGCTTCGTCGAGATGACTCTAACTCTCTGATAAGTACCAGTAGTACAAATCTATTCTTGCAGAACTCCAATGAGAACTCATTCTCATCTAATATCAATCTCTTAGAGAAGCACATTACAGCAGAATCTGCTAGCTTCCATACAGCTGTATCCATGACTGAGAGTGCTCAGTTCAACAAAGATTTTGAAGATCCATTCACAGACGAGCGAATCAAGTTAGAAGAGTTAGGTACTTCTCCTCCTGAGAACCAACTGTATGAACCTAGAACACCTTTACTGCCACAGAAGATTCGTTACAAGGGACAAGATATTGGAGTCTTTGTGAACGAAATAGAATCGAATGATAACGAGAATCAAAGCAAGAAAATCTTAGAAACATCCCTGGAGTTCAACACCTCTCTTCATACGAAGAAAGTGGTTTTACCACATGATGAGCATACCAATGTTTCTTTAAACGGACCAGCTGAAGCCAAAATTGCTGAGATCAAGATTGCTGAGGCCAAGATTGCTGAGGCCAAGATTGCTGAGGCCAAGATTGCTGAGGCCGAAGTTGAAGAGCCCAAAATTGAAGAGCCCAAAGAATCATTGAAGGATAAGAACCTAATGAGTAGATCAGAATCTAAATCAGAAAGTTCAGGCTCTGGTACTAGTAGTCAACGTAAGCCTCATGTGCCTGGTGGAGGTAGATCGGAAAAAGAAAAAACAGATACTATGACCAACGAACAGAAACAGAACTATAAGGACAAAATGAGAGAAATTGAGAAGATTGCTAGACAAGTTGAGCAACAACTCAGTGAGCTGAACGTACGCCCACGAGTTTCCAATAGTAGCGAACTGAGTGACGATGCGAAAGAAATCGAAGAAGCCATCCTCAGAATGTCTGAGCAACTTGTATATCACAGTCCCATCACAGAAGCTCAAGCTGAAGCAAGTGAAGAACTGATGCGAACAACGTTAGCTGATATGATTTTAAATCCAAATCAGCACCGATCAGAAGAAGCGGAATTGATGAAAACACCCATAAGAATTCTGAAGAGAAAAATCTCTGACATAGAAAACTCATTGATGGAGGATGTGGAGCTTTGTGGAATAAATGAAACAACTGAAATCACAACAACTTCGCCAAGTGGAACAGCTACGACAGTTGTAAAGGTACCTATTAAAACCAAAAGAGTGCCAAGTGCAGAGCTGATCAGAATGACACCACTGACCACAGATATTCGAGAACAACTCACAACTCTGGAAGATATGATAAACGAGCACATAAACAGCGAGTCCACTTCATCTGTTATCCCTGTTGATCCAACGAAAACGCCAGCTGAAGTGAGACAAGAACTTCATGACATTTTTGTTCAGATCAATAACGAAATTTCGGTTATCCGTGGCTACTGTAAGAAGAAGCTAACCAAGAAGGGCGCTGATGCCGTCATGCAGGTACTGGAGAAAGTGAAAATCCATGTCACGAGCATAGTCAACATTATGGCTTTGTCCAAACGGAGATGTAAGAAGATGGAGAAGAAAATGGAAAAAAGACTTGAAGCGGCAGCCCCACCCGAAACCGGAAAAACGACAACCGTAAAAGCTGGCTCTAAAGCAGTTCCAGTAGTCGAAGTGACACTACCAAAAGAACCTGCAAGTACCAATATTCAGTTTATGTTCACCAAGCCTGACAACACTGAATCGATTGAAGGTATACTGATCTTCAAACAAAGTTCAATGGATCGGTCAAGCAACATTCAAACATCTGCTGCTGGGTCTGTGAGTGATGACACTTGGCGGTATTCAACTGAACTGAAAACTTCATTCAGTGATGTTGGTACGAAATCTAAAATCAGTACTCCATCAGTAGGCAAAATAGAAGAAGAAATTGTAGAAACTCCAGTAGCACCACCGCGAAGGAAAAGAGATACGTCTAGAACACCGAGAAAAGAGGAACAACCTGTTGAACGGAAAGCGCTGGAAGAAGCCAAGAAAATATCAGAAGCTTCTCTGGATGATCTTCACTCTCATGTATCTCTACGATCTATGACACTGCCCAATTACGGACGCACGAAACAGAAAACTCGTGATCCTGTCGCTCCTCCGAGACGGAGAAAAGATCATTCCCATGATGTGAACTTGGAGAAATCAAACGATGAGCCAAGACTCATGACGCATAGACATACTTCACTGGATAGCCGTGATATGGATCGCGAGCTCTCAGGAATGTCTTCGTCACAGAAGGTTTCGACAACAAAAGCATTCAAACAATTTACTAATGCTCTGGGCAAGCTCAAGAACTTTAACTTCCCTAACCCGCTCAAAAAGAAAAACAAAAATAGAGAATTAGATCGTGAACTTCTTATCCCATCTTCTGATTTCACACAAGAACAAAAAGATTCATCGGAGCCACTAACTACAGACGATCAATCACAAGACTCTCCGCTTGATGATAATCAAGAACTAAGAGGTGAATTCACGTTCAATGCTGCAAATACTTCAACTAGAATTCATCCTTTAGAACGCCCATCGGACCCTCTAGTTTATGAACTAGAACATCAATCAGAAGCATCCAACTTGAACAGAGCTTCGCCCCATGAAGAGGTTATATATCATGATGTATTCTTAGAAAAACCCGAAGAATCTGATTTGGCTATACAGTTATATACAGGCGGATATTCTGACCTTTCGCAATTCGAAACGCCAATTTTAGAAAGAGGAGGAACGCCAGAATACTCTGATCTAGAAGATGAAGAAAACGATAGAACGGAAGCTGAGCTCCTTGAACAACTGAGATCAATGAGCGGAGATCCACCAGTTGAAGACATGAACACAGCTAACATCGATTGCTCAGCTTATATAGTGAAAAGTCAACATGACGAAGCTCATCAACTGGATGATCAACCAGTACTTCAATCTTGTGTTGATCCTGAGACTCAGCTGGAAATTCCACCTGATGTTCAGTCGAAGGTGTCTAAAGAAGAGTTTATGGAAAACCCACAAACACAGAAGACATGGAGCGAAGATCAAACTCAAGTACATATATCGATGGCATCCATGGAATATGGAAATGCTTGCACTACGGAAATGTCCACCGAGTCAGAGATGCCCATGTGTCATCACATGAACGTTGACTGTTACATTCCAGCAGATGACACGAACTCTGTTCAAATGCTGTGTGAGGAATCAGATTATGCGACAGACACGGATACATCATGCATGCTCAAAGGAACCATACAGTTTTTCAACAGATACTCTACGTCTTCAGATTTCCGATTCCCATCAAATATGAGCTTGAACTCACTTAAACCATTAAAAGAAAACTTAGCTGAACTTGAACAGAAGACCGAAGACATCGAAGTGAACATTGAGCTGAGGTCCGTAGATCCTGATGAAATGGCAATGGACTGTAACCAATCAGAGGCTCAGTTCTCGGTAAACGATTACGTTCTGGAAGAATCTGATTTAGACTCGAGATCAGAGGACCGCTTACCTCCTCCTCCAACTAAAGTCGGATCAAACCTCTCTACTATAATGGAGAGAAGTATAGAAGACAGCACCAAGACGAGAAGTGAAGAAGCTGATTTGAACCCAACAGAACCCATTTCCGAAGAGACTATTCATTTTGTGGTAGATGAAGCTCAATTAAGTCAAATGGCATCCTCTCTGAAAACAGAGGATTACGATCGCCCTCTTAGTTCTGCGAATACCATGAGAGAAACAGATATTTTAAGCGACGAATCAATCGTCACTGAAATTGAACAAGCCATAATTGATTACGTAGAAAACGATTTTGAGTTTTCTCAAATACCAGCTAAACGAGGTCTTATAGCAACAGTTTCTCAAGATGTGAGGCAGCGGATATCAGCGAATGTTGCTGCAGACAATTCATTTGATATTGAGATAACGCAAGAGCCTGAAATCATGGGACTGACCATCAAAGTCATTGAAGATCAGATTGACTTTACCTCATTGACTATTCTGGCCAATTTCGAGAATACTGACTGCTCAGAACATTTGGCCATAATGAAAGAATTTGAAGATTTTACTGAAACTAGTTCGTTCGACGAGTACGAAGGAGAAGACAGTAAAACTGGTATTACCGTTTCAATCATTGCGAGAAGCTTACATGATGGAATTTATGCCTCCCTAGAGGAAATTCCGTGGGGTGAAGCACAAATAACTCTGAAAGAATTTGAAATGACCCGTAGTTGCGACAACTCCTTACATTTCAATGTGACCGTCTCTGAAGCCACTGCTGATGAGAAGAAGTCTTTAAGATCCCAGGCATCATTCAAAGAATCACAAAACTCCATTTCTGAAATAGAGAATACGCTTAGTTCCGGAAGTATCAATATACCTAGCTATGTGATCAAGCTCGGATCAACAGCTACAATAACCTGCGAGTTGAATAATTATCTTCCGCCTAATAGCATTATCGACTGGTACAAAGGAAAGGAGCCTTTGCGAAGAACTGCTGGCAAGTTTGATCGCATCAGTCATGATCTCCTGGAAGTTCTCATAATCAACGTCGTTGAAATGGATGACAACGATTTATACAGTTTGAAAGTCAACAATGATATCTTCCCTGTTGCGTTCCTCGTTATTGAAGATCCTGAGGCATTATCAGTATTTCTAACGCCTCCACAGACACAATTCGTAATGGATGGTCAGCCGACCGAACTGGCTGTACAAGTATCAGAAAGCAGCGACTGCCAGCAGATAACATGGCTGAGGGATAGAAAACCATTGAAAGTTAATAAATCTGGAAGAAGTATAGTGTGTTCTCCAGATGGCTGGAATCGCTTACTTCTCGAAAAGACATCACTAGCTGATCAAGGTACCTATTATGCGGTGTTAGGAGAGCAACACGTCACTATAACTCTAGTTGTTGAAGGTAATTTTTTCGGTTCTTCTGCTTCATGTTCCGTTCGTATCGTCCTCATCGTTTGCCTGTGTGTCGTGTATACATGTATTTCCCTTCTTTTGCTTGTTATAGAACGTATTGACGAAAAAGAGTTGACAGTAATGGCATCTGGAACAGAAAGTGAGGATGATGACGTTCAAGAATACCTTGTGCCTCCGGGAAGTACAGCAACTATAGCTTGTGAATTAGAAGAAAACGATTGTGAACGAGAATTACTATGGCTTAAAGATGGCCACCCGATTAGTTTCGAGAATATATCGAAATCTGAGCATGTGATTAATGGCTTAAAACACTACCTAGTCATCCATGATACATGCAATTCTGATTCTGGTCTCTATTCTGTTTCAATATCTTCTGTCGTATTTCGAGTTGCTCATCTGATTGTTAATGACTTGGCAACTTCGAATCAAGGTTTACGACGAAAACGAATCTCAAACAGCTCATTATACAAATGAAAAAGATGAAAAGATTATTATATTTCTATTTATTTATTGTTTTCGTTACATTATTTATCTCATACATTCCTATAGAAATTGAGTTATACATTTTCATAATTGATAATTTCATAAAGACGTATACCACATATCTATGATGTCGTTGCTTGAACCACAAACACACACAAAAACAAAAAAAATTATAAATGAAAGATTTTAAATATAATAATTTATCTAGGTGGTGAAGAAATCGAAGAAACATGCATACCAGCTGGTGCCGTTGCAACCATTAATTGCGAAACTATTTGCGATGAAAAAGACATCGAATGGCGAAAGGTCAGTATGTATATCCAAATCAACGTCCAACAACTCATACATACATATCACGTTCCTCATATTGCGTACGATGAAAACAACAAAGCTCCGCCCATCGCACACAGTTCTACATGAACGACCGCTAACTCCCTTCAGCTACAGTCAGTATGAAAATGATTAGCGAGCGCCGTTATGAAATCACAACCGCTCACTTAATAAAAAAAATTTTGAAATGAAAATAGCGAAGTTGTTGATCAAGAATACGACCGCTCATTATGCGCAGAAAGTTGAAAAATGAGAATTGAGAAGAGCGTTGCTTTCAGTGTACAAGAACTCTTACAAGCCTGCAATAAACATAAAGTTAATTAGTTTTGTAATGACAAGCGGTTTGTAGAATGTAGAATTTTCCACGCAATCGAGCTTTGGAAGTTTTTGAATGCTTCTCACTTACTATCTGTTGCAAGTATAAAAACAGCCTATAAACAAAAACTCTTCAGAATCGCGAATCAACTATTCCGCGAGCGAAAACAAAAGATGAAGCAAATCGCTACGTCTTCGAAGATTCCGACGATGGACGTCATCATTCATTGAGCATTGTTCCTGTTGAGCCGAGCGATGCCGGAGAGTATGGTGTCATAGTCGAAGGAATCTATACACCTGTGACACGAGTGAAAATTACCGGTAAGAAAGCATGGGTTGAAAGTTTATAACGAATTTATAGAAAGTGAAATATTTTCTCAAATGATTTTCGAAGAGCCAGAAGTTGATATATCATTGACAATGTCTTCCATAAAGGATGTTGTTGAGGCTGAAATGGCCGATAGGATATCAATCAATACTCTAGAAAGTATTCCTGCAATCTGCGAAGAGAGCGAACCAGAGCAGGAGGTAAACTATAAACTACAGAGAAATAGTCAAATATGTTTAAGGAAAAGGAAACATCTCAAAAGATATTTGAGGTTCCAACAGTTCAAATCACAAACGCTGATGATGAGCCCGTCGTGATGGATGAAGTAATCGAAACTGAGCTAGACATACAGGTTAGCATTGCAGTACTATTCATATAATAAAGCATGTTTATTGAAGATTCAACATGTCGGAGAAAAAGCTCTGTCTACTTCTGAAGTTGTACCTACAGTTGATCAGTTCACACTCGATGAGTTAGCCTTGAAAGCAGCAGAGGCTATCGCTATTGACATGACTGAGAAACTGTTGGCAGAAACTATAAACGAATCAACATCATGGGAACCTACTGGAAGAACGAATCAATCTATATCAGCTGATATATCTAGTCCTGATGAATCAGTTTTCAAATCAAAAGAATGCCTCTTCGGTTCTTCCATCCATGAAGATGTTGATGAAACCGTCGTACCAGTCGAAGGTTTCGTAGACAACGTGTTATCGCCGGATCTAACGGAAAATGTTGTAACTGAAACAACAGAAGAAACAGCGATACCACAAACCGTTATCGGTGATCTAACCGAAAGTGATATCACAATCGATGAAACTAAGGATGATGAAGCTCAAAGTGTTGTAATCAACCTGGACTTTTCGAAAGAAATTTCCAAAACATCATTGGAACACATCATAAGCCGAGCAAGAAACTGTCGATTACAAACGTTTTTGACTTTTGATCAGCATAATACTGATGTCTTAACTACCGATGTTAACATCTCATTCGACTTGCATCGAAACACTGAGAGTGAGCATTCTGAAGTAGTCGTATCTCAAGTTGTATATGAGGATGATGGTTGGTGATACTTCGGATTACAGTCTTCTATGATTATCTTTTCAGAAGCTTCCACAATTGATGACACTCTTACTTCCTTGTCAAGCAGCTGTCTCTACTCACCTCCCGAGTTCATCACTAAATTGGAAGATGAATACGAAGTAGTGGAAGGGAGCCGTTTCTTGTTCAAAGTTAGTGTCACAGGGGTTCCTTTACCAAAGGTTATTTGGTACCATAATGACAACATTCTTCAAACTGAGAGGTAGTTTAACTCATTCTTCTCTTCAACATCCAACTTTCAGAAATGTTATTGAGATCATATACGAAGATGGAGTCAGCTACTTAGAAATACGAGAATGCCATCTACGATGGAATGGAACTTTGACTTGTGAAGCAACTAACTCCGCCGGAGTACAGAAGATTCAAAGTCAAATCAGAGTTCTGCCAGGTATGATTATTCTGCACTCTTGCTCTCACTCACATAATTCAGCTTCTAATCCTATGGAAGTACATGTGCAGGGCATACCTCAACAGGTAGATGTAGAAACGATTATTCCGAACAGAAATAATGAAGGGGATTACGAGTATGTTGAAGCTAGGGTCAGTTTGCTATTCAGAAACTACTTTTCGATCCGTATGATATGATCTATACAGGTTGAAAGCAATACGGGTATTAGCAGAGCTACTTCTATGGCTTCTGTCGACGCAAGCATATGTTCGGAATCAAGCACTTCCTCTGCTCTAGGACAGCCACCAATATTTATAACTAAACTATCATCTCAGCTGTATACAAAGGTAATGTTCATAATGCACTTATGTACTCAATGAACTTCCTTCAGACAAATGAGAATATCCAATTGCGATGTTCTTTCACAGGTCAACCATTACCCTCAGTGACTTGGGAGAAAGATGGTCTATTAGTGGATATGAACAGGTTTGTAGTAAATTAGAAGAACACCGAACTATGGCTAATGATGCATCAGGAATTATAATATCATCTGTGAAGACGGCATAACTATTCTGTTCATTGACTCAACAACTTCTGACGATAATGCTCTCTTCACTTGCACTATCGCGAACGGGTTTGGGGTGACTTCCACAGCTTGTAAAGTTTTGGTTGAAGGTATGCAAAACGTTTTCGAACTGTTTTTCCATTCATCAAAAATCTACAGATGATGCTCTTGATGTCCAGATTGTGGGAGCTCAAGTGATTTGTGATAAGGATCTCGCCGATACTGCTGTAGATGTGCTTATTCTGAGTCCATCAAAAACGCAGGCTCAATTTGTTTTCAATGTACAAACTGAGCCTACCGATGCTGATGCTAAGAAGATCCAAATGGAAGAGGAAGTGGGCAATGTAGAAAGAATCAAGAATCTCCTGGCAGTTCCGAAGCCGTCTGAAGAACAACGGCCACAGTTCATTGTGGGGCTGAGTAATGATGTTTTCACTGGTGACAGTATTGCTCTGAAGTGCATCGTAATGGGAATCCCCATGCCTTCGGTTGAATGGACTGTTAACTCACAGACTATCGATTCTAGGTATGTTAAAGTAGTGTTTTCTCACTCTCAGAAATAATTTTCAGTTCTGCTCAAGTAATTTATGAAGATGGGATAGCAATACTCCACCTCCAAGGAATCGATGATGATCATCTCAACGTTGTATGTATAGCTAGGAACTCGCGTGGAACAACTACCACAAAAGCCACATTCACGCGATCTGACCTATCAATGTCTACACAGTCGACATCCTCTAGTGGAATCAACCAGAAGCCTCATTTTGTCGTACCCCTCAAAGATGTCCATACCAAAGATGGGCATGCTCGCTTGAAATGCATTGTCACGGGAACACCCGTACCAGAACTAGTATGGAACTGTAATAATAAAGAGATCGACAGAAGGTTTTATAATTTGTACATAACCTTCCACACATTCGAATTTCAGAATTATTTATGAAGATGGAGTAGCCATTCTGCAGTTAGATGGCGTGGAGGACGTATCTGTAATATCATGCCAAGCTACAAACATCAAGGGAAGCTCAACTACCAGTTGCGTTGTTGTAAAAGTTCCCAGTGAATGGGAAGAAGAACGGGACGATAGACAAGCCCCCTTTTTTGTCAAACAACTGGAAGATGATCTCATTGAGTCATCAGATATCGCTTTAAAGTGTGTTGTCATGGCGACTCCTTCAGCCCAAGTTACTTGGTTTGAGAATGGTGAAGTTATAAAGCCACATAAGTAAGCTCATTCTTTCACAATCATTGTTTACACTCGCTTTCAGGCTTAGAAGACTCATTTACGAGGATGGAATAGCCATTCTTCAGGTTCAAAATCTACGTTTAGGAGACACGGAGTTTGAATGTTTGGCTGAAAATGAGAGAGGGAAAGCAAGAACCTCTTGCATAATCACTCGATCAGCTAGTTTGGCCACGGAAACGGGACAAGAGCCACAATTCACTCTCAAATTACAAGTTTGAAGTGTTGAGTCATTTGTAATCCATCTAATCATTCAGAGTGGAAAAGTATGCACAGGGAAGCTTAAGCTCAAATGCATAGCTATAGGTTCTCCAGTCATCCAAACACGGTGGTATTGTAATGGGAAAGCAATCTCATTTGAAGACAAGTAAGTGGAGAGAGAATCTTATCTGCAGAAGACCCCATATGAAATGAAACTATGATATATCATTCAGAAGCTTCGAAATCATATCTGATGATGGTGTCAACATTTTGAACATTGCCAATATAAAGGAGAATGCGATAATCGAATGTGAAGCACGAAATGATTTTGGATCTCAAACTACACGATGTACATTGAGAATAGATGATAAACCCGACATTCATATGTTGAGAAGGAGTGATTCTAGGTAGATATTAGATTCTACCACGTTTTTCATGCAGAATATCTTTCAGACAAAAACCATATTTCATTCAAGAGCTGAAAGATATGCAAGTTGAAGAAGGAAATGTGAGATTGAAGACATTGATCATATCAGTGCCAGATCCCTCCGTCGTTTGGACTGTTGACGCTGAACCGTATGTTCAACTTTAAACCTCTTCATTGGGAAAGAACAATATTTCAGGCAAATAACCCAGAACTTCATTGATGGTGTTGCAATCCTTGAACGAATATTTGCTGAAGGACAATTTCGAATAGCATGCGAAGCATCTAACGAACTGGGAATAGCGTTTTCCAAATGTATTTTGACAGTAACCAAACGTCAAGACATGGCTTACTCGCTAGATCAACCGGGCACAGTTCCCATTGTAATAGAGTCAGTGAATTCTGAGCAGAGAACGCTTGATTTCAATAACGACTACAGCACAACTGCAAATGAAAATGATATAATTGCAGAAACGACAATATCATCCGATGAAAGATTCCAAAAATCTACTGGAGCTATTCAGACCTGCCACATGGATGCTACACTATGGAAAGAGGATGAGGTCTTCACACTTCAAGCAAATTCTCCCCCTATCCTGAATAACGAAACACAAGCCCAGGAATCCGCTGTAGTACATGCCACCCCTCATGATGATCCGAAACTTGAACCAACCTGTGAACATCCCAAAACTGGAGAATTGACATCGGCAGTTCCTGCTCAACCGGAAGCCCAGACTGTTTTAGAGCAACTTGCGATGGTTACTGAAGCTCAAAAAGAAACAGAGGAAACTGAACATACCGCTGATTTAGCACAATCTCCCGAAACAACATCGGAAAAGCCCGCTGAACCATCAGAAGACAAGACCGTTTCAGAGCAACCTACAAAGGTGGCTGAAGATCAGAAAGAAACCGAGAAAACTGAACTAACCGCTGACCTAGCACAATCTTCAAAAACAACATCGGAAGTAACTCCTGAACCATCGGAAGACCAGACCGTTTCAGAACAACCTGCGAAGGTGACTGAAGTTGAACAAGAGATCGAAACAGTTGAACTAACCGCTGATCTTGCACAATCTCCAGTAGTGGAAATACCCGCCGAGCAAAAAGACATACAGATGGTTTCCAACAAACAGGAAGATTCTCCAGCGGTAGTCGAATCAGCGGAACAGTCAACAGTTACCGCGAAGAAAGTCAACACAGATGTTGAGTTAATATTTTCCAAAGATCAGGAGATCTGCGGTCTAGAAATCGACCTAGTCCTGGATGTATTCGAGAGCTTAGAGTATCGACAACAGAAATCAGCGTCAGAAGTTCACCCAGAGATAGCTAAGGCTGAAACAACCGCTGATCTAGCACAACCTGAAAAGGGGCAGCCCGAAGTTGAAAAACCTGAAGAAGTCACTCAACCTGAGCAGCCTACAAAGGTTGACCCTGGTAGTGCTGTTTCACATTCTCAGGAATCTATAGAAGTAGCTGCTGTTCAAGGAGTGGCACAGACTGAAGTTGGGAAACTTGAAAAAGTAACTACACCTCAGCAGCCTACAAAGGTTAAATCTGAGAGTACTGTTTCACTGTCTCACGAACCGGTAGATGTATCGGCTGTTCAAGAAGTCGCACAGACTGAAAAGGAGCAGCCTGAAGTAAAAAAGCCTGAAGAAGTAAAAACACCGGAGCAGCCAACGAAGGTTGTACCTGAGACCGCTGTTTCACAATCCCAGGAATCGGTAGAAGTAGCTGCTGTTCAAGAAGTCGCACAGACTGAAAATGACAAACCTGAAGAAGTAACAACACCTGAGCAGCCTACTAGCGTCAAACCAGTGGAACAATCTACAGTTAAGGAAGAGCAAGTAAACACAGATGTTAAGCTAGTGTTTTTTAAAGATCAGGAGATCTGCGGTCTCGACATCAACCTAGTCCTCGATGTATTCGAGAGCTTAGAGTATCGACAACAGAAATCAGCATCAGAAGTTCACCCAGAGATAACCAAGGCTGAAACAACCGCTGATATAGAAGAATATGAAAAGCTACAGGATGAAGCCGAGAAACCAGAGCAAACAACTGCACCTGAACAGCCCACTGAAGGTGAATCTATCAGTGCTGTTCCACAATCTCAGAAATCGAAAGAGGTAACTGCTGTTCAAGAAGTGGCACAGACTAAAGCTGAGAGACCTGAAGAAGTAACAACACCGGTAGAGATAACTAAGGTTGAACCTACTAGTGTTGTTTCACAGTCCCAGGAGCCGGTAGAAGTATCTGCTGTTCCCAAAAAGGAGCCGGCTGAAGAAGTAAGAACACCTGATCAGCCAACTGAAGTGGAACCTATCAGTGTGGTTTTACAGTCCCAGGAATCGGTAGGGGGGGCTGCTGTTCAAGAGAAGAAAGAGGCTGGAGAAAAGAAAGCTGAAGAAGTAACAACGCCTGAGGAGCCTACCAGCGCCGAACACGTGAAACAATCTACAGTTGAGGAAGAGCAAGTAAACACAGATGTTGAGCTAGTGTTTTTCAAAGATCAGGAGATCTGCGGTCTCGACATCAACCTAGTCCTCGATGTATTCGAGAGCTTAAAGTATCTACAACAGAAATCAGCGTCAGAAGTTCAACCGGACATCGTTACGGATCAACCAGCCGCTGATCTAGCACAATCTGAGAAGGCGCTGCCCGAAGTTAAGAAACTTGAGGGAGTGAAAACACCTGAGCAGCCAACGAAGATTGAACCTATCAATGCTGTTCCACAATCCGAGGAACCGGTAGAAGTACCTGCTGTATCCAAAGAGGCGAAGATCGAAGTAAAGACAGCTGAAGAAACAACTGCACCGGTGGAGATTACTAAGGTTGAACCTACTAGTGCTGTTCCACAATCCGAGGAATTGGTAGAAGTACCTGCTGTATCCCAAGCGGCGCAGCCTGAAGTAGAGAAACCTGCTGAAGTAAAAACACCTGAGCAGCCAACGAAGGTTGAAGCTATCAGTGCTGTCCAACAATCCGAGGAATCGGTAGAAGTAGTTGCTGTTCAGGGAGTGGCACAGACTGAAGCTGAGACAGCTGAAGAAGCAACTGCACCGGTGGAGATTACTAAGGTTGAACCTAATAGTGCTGTTCCACAATCAGAGGAATCGGTGGAAATACCTGCTGTATCCAAAGAGGCGCAGCCCGCAGTTAAGACAGCTGAAGAGGCAACTGCACCGGTGGAGATTACTAAGGTTGAACTCGCTAGTGCTGTTCCACAATCCGCGGACTCGGTAGAAGTATCTGAAGTATCGAAAGAGGCGAAGCCCGAAGTTAAGAAAGCTGAAGAAGTAACTACACCTGAGCAGCCCA